CATTAATAATATAAATGGAGTCAAAAACAAAAAACACATTGTCATCTCAATAGATACAGAAAAGGCTTTTGACAAAATTTACATGGGTTCAATATATGTAAGTCAATAAACGTCATAAATCATATAAATGGGCTCAAAGAAAAGACAAGAACCACATGGCCATCTCAATAAATGCAGAGAAAGCCTCTGACAAAATTCAACATGGATTTATGTTCAAAGTCCTAGAGGGAACTTGGAAGGAACATACCTCAACATAATTAAAGCTATATACAACAAACCCACAGCCAATATCATTCTAAATGGAGAAAAACTGGAAGCATTCCCATTAAAATCAGGATCAGACAAGGATGTCCACTATCACCACTCCTTTTCAACACAGTGACTGAAACTCTTGTTAGAGCATTAAGACAGGAGAAAGAAATTAAAGAGTTACTTTTTGGAAGAGGTCAAACTATCACTTTTTGCAGATGATACCAGACCTAAGAGATCCCAAAAGTTCCACCAGAAAACTCCTAGAACTGATCAACACTTTCAGTATAGTGGCAGGTTATAAAATCAATGTATAGAAATCAGAAGACTTTCTACATACCAATAATAAGTAATTGGAGAAAGAATAGAGGGAAATGCTCCCATTCACAATTGTACAAAAAAAAATTTTAAATATCTTGGAATAAATCTGACGAAAGACAACAAAGAGCTCTACAATGGACATTTTAAATCTTTAAAGATATTGAGGAAGACAGGGCATGGAAGGACCTCCCATGCTCAAGGATTGGAAGAATTAGTATTGTTAAAATGACCATCCTTCCAAAAGCAATATATAGATTTAATGGAATCCCAATCAAAATCCCCATGACATACTTCACAGAACTAGAAATATGCACCCTTAAATTCATATGGAGGCACAAAAGACCCCGGATAGCCAAAGCAACCCTGAGCACAAAGAACAATGCTGGGGGGATTACTATACCAGATCTCAAAATATACTACAGAGCCATAGTCATAAAAACAGCATGGTATTGGTGCAAAAACAGACTCATAGATCAAGGGAACAACACTGAAGATCCAAACCTGAGTAAATGTAATTTCAGCCACCTAATTTTTGACAAAGGTGTCAAGAACATGCAATGGAGGAAAGACAGCATCTTCAACAAATGATGCTGGCAAAACTGGATCTCCACCTGTGGAAGAATGACACTAGATCCATATCCTTTGCCTTTCACAAAAGTCAACTCCAAATAGATCAAAGACCTCAATGTGAAACTGAAACTCTTAGAAGAAAATGCTGGCAGTTACTTAGAGGATATATGTGTAGGAAAGGATTTTCTAAATTGGACAGGAGCTGCTCAGGAATTAAGGTCAGCAATCAATAAGTGAGACCTCATTAAACTAAAAAGCTTCTGTAAAGCAAAAGAAACAATCAAAAAGGTGAAGAGAAAACCCACAGAATGGGAAAAAAATCTTCACCAGTGACACATCTGACAGAGGTCTAACATCCAGAATATGTAAAGAACT